AAGGGACGGGCAAGAGGAGAAATTAAAAATTTCAAGCATATATATCCCAAGTCTTTCAAATGTAAACAGCTAACTGTGTGCCAGGAATCAGAGCACTCAGTTTTCTGAAGAAGATACATTTCCCAGAAGAAATTACATAAATATTTATGAAAATGAAACAGGAAATATTTTCCCAGGGTAGGACACTGTTCAGTTCTACATCAGGTCAGCAAAAGACAGAGTTTATTTTGTAAGTCTTCCACTGAAACTGAATCATTGCCCTGTTGTTTGCTAAATTGATTCTGACACTGGATTAAGCTGCACTTAAGCCAACACATTCACAAAGCACTTACAATATTCCACCTTATGTTATATTTGTAACAGAACTTTGAATTCCTTACTTTTTCCCCTGCAAAACAGTGATGAGACAAGTTAGTCTCAGTCCTTTCATGAAGTCTCATGATGATACAACTTCCAGCCAGAATACTTTCTTAGGAAAAGTGAAAGTTTCCAGGGGCCGGTTGCTAGATCAAGAACAGGTATGAAGATAAACTGGAGGGACCTTGGATGCATTTTCTGGGAGATCTCAGTAAGCATCATAAGGACCTGTTGACTCATATCTTGTACAAAAGTGGATTCTAATTAGGAAGAGTCTTATCTTCATTCTACACACTGAAATAGCTAACAAATGTAGGTTTGATCTTGCAAATCCTGGCATAGGAACACAAGGCTGCAATGCACCCATGCAAGTGTGAACAGAGGCTACACAAAGCTGAGACACAGCCAAACAACAAACCAAATGGACTGCCAAAAATCCAGAGAAGCCAGAATTGAGGTCTGGCCACCATGCTATTTATCCATCCTGAATATAATGAAGTAAGCATCAGATGGAGCTCAAGAAAGCTTTTGCATCTCTGATTCAGTTAGTCTGTATGGTGCATCTCCACCCTGCCTTCTGCCCCCCTGAATATAATGTTGGGAGAACCATAGGGCAATAGATGGTCTTACAAGTTCTGTTTAGATTACTGCATTGGTATAGTAAGGTTTTGGAAAAATCATTGTCATTAGTTGTGATGAGGTTCTTCCTGGAAACTATTTGCAGATACGTGTAGTGTCTGGTCACTGACCCAACCTTTCTGACTGGATTAACAATTGTTCTTCATAGGCTATATTCACACAAAGCAAATATCACATAGTGCCTTCAAAGATGGCAGTGTTTTCGTACCTTCTGCTCCATCCCTTGAGTCTCAGTTCAGACCTTCTGTCTAATCAGTTCCAAGTGCTGTCAGTACTGGAACTGCCTCAATACCACTGATGTACACAGACAGCAGGCTGAAATGTCAAGGGTAGTGCTGATCTCAGATACCATAGCAATAGAGAGAGAGACTGGGAAAGACAAGTATTTGCCTTCTAACACCCCCAGATCCCAACAGCTGTCCAGTACAACATGGCCCAAATAAAGGGAAACTCTTTAGTAACAAAGTTTGGGATAGAGCTGCTGCCAAAGTATCCTGAGCTTTCCTCACTAAGTCTTCCTGTGGTAACAGGCAGAATATTAACCTTGAGCCCAACCACAGCATGTGGAACCCTGCTAATTGGCGATGCTGGCTCTAATATCTGCCTACCTCTTGGCAATCAGCAATAACTTATGCAGGATGTTGTCTGTACTTTATATAGCATACTGGCATTTGAGGGTTAATCCCTCAGGGACATTTAGGTAAAGATTACATGTAAACTACTAAATGCTTAGACTCTAAACAGGTAGCATGCTGTAATGCACATACACCGACTGGAAGCACCCAGAACCTTTTCTGGCTCTCTTTTTTCAGGGTTTTCTTGTAGAACGCTCGTGCCCTGGGAGATGCTTGTTTTATCTCTTTTATGCTTGGCCAAGGCTGGTCGGGTTTTTTTTTTTTATTATCCCTGAGCCTGATTTGATGAGAATTAAAATGCACAACAGGCTACACGCCTCATTAAATCTCAGACAGTGAAAGAACTGGTTGGGAATTTTTCAGTGAAACTTTTCAAAATACTGATTCATCAAACCCCAAACTTTGCATGGTAACCACCGCTTTTGATGAAATTTCTGTTGAAGATTTTTTTTTTCTTCTCAGTTCCAGGACAGAAATTGTGACTGAAATCACAGAAGGCCACAAGACACCAAACAGCTGGGTAGGTAGGGGACTCAACTGGGAGAGGAAGATTCCAGTGCAAAACTCCACTTTGAAGCATGGATTTAAGCCTGGGTTGCTCATATCCCAGGTAAATACTCTAACCACCAGACTCCTGGCTGTCTTGGGTTTTCCCCTGCTCCCTGGCTTTTTATGAAAAGCTTTGCAAGGTCTTGGTTTCATCCCAATTCAGAACAGGAGGGTGACTGAAATCTCCAAAAGTTTTGCTGTATGAGACAAGTATTTCCTGCCTTCCTTTAGTAAGCAACCAAACTAGCTAAGCCAGTGTTTTCCTGACTCGCTCATCCTTCTGCTATTTATTGCTGATGATCATCAAACAATTGTTAGAAGATTTATTGGGCTTGCTGGAGAGATCATATCATTTGGCAATGTTTCCCAACATGCTTCCTCCCCATCCCTCCACTGAACTAACTATGCCAGGTTCCCACTCCCACACCATCCATTCTGTCTCTTATGCTGGCCTTATGATTGCAAAATGGAAAGTGAAGTGAGGGAAACGATACATAAAACCGATTTAGAAGTCACAGGCACAATTCCCAATTCAAACCACATGGGGCTGAGTTTATTCTTGGTGTAACTCCATCTGGCCCTAGTCCCAGCTCTCATTATTCCTCTGTCCCTCACCAGTTATGGTGTAGTTGTTTTCATGTCCATGTACTGTTTGCTTTATACATGCCTCATATTTGTCTCATTGCATGCTCTGTGAGGGCAGACACCAGACCTATTTCTGAAGATGCCGTGTGTATTATAATTAAGAAAAAGAGACTCTTTTGGAAGTGTGGCAACTAGTGACAAGAGTAGGGGTAAATTTCTACTTCCCTTGAAAGCAATGGAAGCTTTGTTATTTTACTATAATACGGACAAGATTTCACCCAGGCACATAGTGAGACTTGAGATCACCAGGGTTTCAGGCATTAAAGAGAAGGTATCTGATGTAACCCCACACCCTTGAATGGGTGCTGTTATCTTATCCATCTGTTAGAAAGCTGAAAGGCCATACAATTTATTGACTGAAATAATGAGGAAAATATCAAAAAAGCTGGTATGTATGTTATGTGGGGGAAATCTACTTTTGCTGAGGCTAGACAACCAAATCCACACCTAAAGGAAAAAAAGTCATCAATGGGAAACAAAGGACTGGAAGGGGCCTTATGAGCTATCAAGCCCAACCCCCTGTGTCCTCAGACAATCATTTATCCATGAAATCCCCAAAATCACCACTTCAAACCCTCATCCAACTACAATGCACAAAACTGGACACAAGAATACCTTAAACATGCTATAGGTACAAGAGCACTGCCAGTGCCCTTCCACCAAAATGGCTGGGAAACAGCTGGGTAATATATACTGTATTTTGAGAGTGCTTGACCTATTCTTGGGCAAAGAACAAGGGTCTTTTTTGGTGATATCTTTTATTGGACCAACTCTATAGTTGCATAATAGGGCTGTGCAAAACAGCAGCATTCTGCTTTGACACCCGTTTGGACAGAACAGTATTTTGATTAGAGTTTTGTTTTGATTCGAAAACACTCTTCTGTTCCGATTTGTCAAAACGGTTTTGCTGTTTTGATGCTGTTTCGATGTCTTGATCGGGATGAGGAAGGGAACTCAGCCCAGCTGAGTTGAGTTCCCCTCCTCAGTGCTAGGATCAGGCTGGGGAAGGGAAATTCAGACCACCTGAGTTCCCCTCCCCAGTGCTAGGATCAGACTGAATTCCCTTCCCCAGCCCAATCGCAGCACTGGGGAGGATTCAGCCGGGCTTTTTTGAAACTTGAAACGTTTCAAAACATTTTGACTGCCCTCCTTTCACTGAGGCTGTTTTGAAGCCCTTTGTTTCATTTCGAGTTTGTTGCTTCAAGCTCAAAATGAGTAGAAACAGTGTCGAAACGAAACAGCTGGTGAAATTTTGCACAGTCCTAGTGCATAATATGTTAGATTAGCTTTCAGACAGAAAGTGCCCTTCTCCAGGTCTGGACAGACCTGAAGAAGGGCACTAAAATCTTGTAGACTCTAGCCAATAACAGCACTGAGTCACATCAGTTCTACTACACAGCAGTTTACATGTCTGACCTCCAAGCTTTAGCTGCAGACCCACAAACTCAAATGAAGCTTCTGAGCCTGCCCCACACAAATCAAATGCAGCTTTGACTGTCAACCTACTCAGCAGAATGAGCTTGAAGCCTGAGGAGCCCCACCGCCTCCAGAAGTTGCCTCTCCTAGCTGGTACAGGGATACAGAAGTGTGGGAAGTTTGCATGGCTGCCTTTGGGTCTTCTGCGGCTTCAGCCCTCAACACTGCCCTTCTCATTATCTACCAAAAAAGAGGGTACAGAGCAACCACTATGGCAGCCTGAGGACCACTGTAACAGCTGCAGTCTGTGGGTTAACCACAGGCTGCTGGTTCAGGGACCCAGTGGTCACACCTTCTTTCATCCTTTCCTCTCAGACCCACTGTATTGAACTAGCAGTGAACGTGCCTGTATAGATTACCAGAGGTGCAATAGCTTATTCTAGGTGTCCCTCCCACACAGCAGAGCCGCAAATTATGCCTTTGTTTTGTGGGAGCCTTACTTACCTCCAGAAGAAGGATTCTTATATAATCGTCTCCTTTATCTGTGAAAAAGAATCTAAGTTCATTTCCTTAGCTAACAACCTGACACAAGCCATGTGTAATTAATTGGCATTCCCTTGGATACAAAATCAAAGTCTTTGTCATATGAATAAGTGGAATCCGGTGTTTCTCTACTATGTTAAGTAAACACAAAGAGGAAAAATCTAAACGAGATAGCCCCATATACTGAAGACATTTCCTCTGGCTAGTGCACCTAAATATCTCACAGCTAAGAGATAAATTGGAATAAACAGCTGTCGCCTTTAAATAAATACTCTGGACAATGTATGATCTGCTTTTCTCCACTTTATTTAGCTGCTCTCCAGTGCAAACTCCCAAGTCTTTGCTCTGCCTCAGTTAGCAGAGCATTTATTTTAGAATCAACTGTATTTGTTAAGGCTGTAACAACGAAAGGCATTTCCTGAGAAACTGCAAGGATGATCAGCATGAAGGAACAACAGCTGCGGAAGTATGGGACCATAGTAATGCTCTTCATTTTCCAAGTTCAGATCTTTGGGCTTGATGTTGACAATCGACCTACTACAGAAGTCTGCTCGACACACACAATTTTACCTGGACCAAAAGGTGAGGAATATAAGCTTGCTAATACTAAGGCCAGAGCTAGTCAGATTTGTTTTATTTTAAATAGGGACATAATGGGACTAGGGTATGCACAGGATATACATTTCTGCTGAGCTGGAGAGGGAAGATCTAGTATTGAAGATGGAACAAAGACCTGACAAGTGAAATTTTGGGGAGGAAAAGGTGCTGTGCTGAGAAGAGACGGTTGTATGATTTTATAAAGTTCCTATTACAATCTGCCACACATTTATACATGGTATAGGTCTCTTGCACAGTTTTTTCCAGCTACGTTAGACCTCTCCTGTTCATTTTCTGTGTTCTGTTTGCATTAGGTTGCAAGATAGCTCTCATTCAGATGATATACAAAAATATTTCAGCTTCACTTAAAAGTGAGCATTAACCCAGAGACAACTGATGGTTCATTTACACTTATGGAGAGATCAGAGTACATTAATCCCAAATGGAAACTGTGCTCCCTGTGACCCCTCCAACGGCTCCTGTTGACCTCAGAAATAACCTGTCCACTGATTTCAGTGGGAACTAGTTTGGGTCTTCAGTGTATAGTTCTTTCATCTTCCAAATGTTTTGCAAATATCTAAGACCAAATTCTCTGCATTAACTTACATTCCATACATTAACTTGCAACTAAAGTCAGAGAAACTGCCTGAGGTACAAATCAGCCAGGAACTTGATCCACAACACAGAAATATATCTTTCAGTGACAGCTCTGAAATATTTATTCCAGGCAAGGGCTACTACAGCCCAAATTCTTGCTTCCTTATTAGTAATTCATTAATTTATCCATAGGCTACAGAATTGGAAAAAATGTGACTGATTTAAATTTTAAATAGAAAAGAAATTATCAACCCCAAAACCTTGCCACAGACTCATTTGTTTTTATGATGGATTATTCAAATGCACATTGCTTAAAGTTCCATTTTTAATCAGCAAATTAATTTCTTCAAGATTGTGGTCCAAGTGTTTAACTTTTGTTGCTGCAAAACCTACACAGGGAAATGCAATATCACCTGAGGTTGTGCAAGGAGTTTGTTTAGTTAGTATTTGCATAATGGAAGTTTAAATGCTTAGAGAAAATTTGGACAAAAATTATCTGTTGCACTTAAAGTGTTACTGAGCTAGCAAGACGGCCTAGTGAGAACATGAAAAGAATTAGTTTGAGTTCTAACTATTTTTTTCAGAACTAGCAATGACTGGGAATACAGAAAAGGAGCATGTCACAGTGCTATTATGACCCAAGACAAATTAAGCATGGTAATGGCATATTGTATGCATAATTATGGTCATTCCCTGTTGCCTTTTGGCCAGAACAATGGTATGATGACACCAGGGAAGAGTGGAAGAACTGAATGGATCTTTAGCATGCCCTCAGAATTAGATTACTGTTTTAAAAGGGATGACAGCCAAAGACAGCTATGGAGCTCCATAGAGATCACGCTAAATCAAGTGATCATCTGACAACAGTCTGCAGTTTATGTGATGGAAGTCTATGGCCTCATTCCAGGTTCTTGTGGACAACAGTCTGTATCAGAAGAATTACATCTGACTGCAAGTAGCATAGCAACCATAGTTGCAGTTCAACTGGGAAGGGAAAGATTTAATATGGGCCTGGTGCCTGAATCATTTTAATTATCTGTAAAACAGCTGAGGTATACTGACCACAATGATTTGCAGTACTGCCCTTACAGTACTTGGTCTGTGACTAGAACACTCTAAACACCAGCACATTGTATGTGCCACCTGGCACTAAATCCACTGACAAAACTTTACTGCTGTATTCCTAATCATAGTGTCTCAAACAAAGATTTCTGTTACTTTTATCACCCCTGTGCCTCCTAGCCCTGGCTTCAGATAGAGTCATCTCTCCAGCCTGTTTCATCCCTCTACATCTACCAATAGGAAGCATCATGATATAATTTATTTTGCTGGGAGATAATGCAGTACACTGGACAACTGCAATAATTTTGTGAGCTGTGCAGCTATGCCTCTCTTCTGCCATAATGTACCTGGGAGAAGGAGGTCATAAAATGATTGTGGGTGCACTAAATACCTCAGAATTTATGGTCCTACATTACTTGCACTACCTTGCAAGATTATATCACATCACCTAAAAGTTCATATTTCCTACACTGGCTACCAAAAACTTAAGCATCCCCCGCATGTTCAGAGTTAAGAAACAAAAAAAAAAAAATCACAAGGAATTGGTCATTTCTTTTGCTCAAGATCTCTAACCGTGAGAACTCCCCCTAGTCCCCCCCCATCTGAATGTGCTCTTTTTACATGCATAAGATACCTGAAAGTAATTAACTAGATGGTAGACATGGGAATTAATTAGCAGGTAGTATTGGATGATCATTGGCTTGATGTCTAGTTGGCAGCTAGAATGAAGTTGAGTGTCTTAGGGCCGTGGTTGTCACTCGGGGGTACGCGTACCCATAGGGGTACTTAAAAAGATTGTAGGGAGTACGGGGGGGCTACCCCCCGTGCACATGCCAGCAGAGGCCCAGGGGGCATGTGCCCCCCCCCCGATCTGTGCATGGGACGGAGGCAGCTGCCACTGTGCACTGGGCTTTGCACACTGGTGCAGCAGCGCAACACCATGCCTACTGCCACTAGGCTGCCGCACCTCCCAGTGGTGCGATGCAAGTGTTCCCAGGGCAGCTGCAGCAGCACGCAAAGCCCCGTGCGTAGTGGCAGCCACCTCCACGCTGCGCACAGATTGGGGAGCACATGCCCCCCTGGGTGTCCACCAGGGTGTGCACAGCAGCAGCCCCCCCTGCACACCTGGATGAGCCACCTGGGCTCCAACTGTCCCACTACCCAGCCCGCCAGGGCCACATTCACCCCAGCCCCTGCCCCGTCTGTGCCCCACTCTCTCCCTCACTGCGGGGGCCTCGATCTGCCCCCACCCCGACAATCCTTTCCCCTCCCCCGAAGACTTACCTGCTGTCTGTGGGGACTTACCAGCACCCCCAAATAATTTTAATATAAAGAAGTATGTAAGCTGAAACTCTGAGACAGAAGGGGTACACTTGTTAAAAAAGAAATCCCCTGTCCTAGGGGATGGTCCTGGGGCTGGTTTTGTTCAATATCTTCATCAACAACCTGGAAGACGGGATGGAGTGCACTCTCAGCAAGTCTGGAGATGACACCAAGCTGCGGGGAGTAGTAGTTATACTGGAGGGTAGGGTTAGGATTCAAAGAGACTGAGGCGAATAGGAGGATTAGACCAAAAGAAGTGTCACGAGGTTCAATAAGGACAAGTGCAAAGCCCTGAACTTAGGATGGAACAATCCCATGCACTGGTACAGGCTGAGGACCAAATGGCTAAGCATTGGCTCTGCAGAAAAGGACCTGGGATTTACACTGGACAATAAGCTGAATGAGCCAACAGTGTGCCATTATTGCCAAGATAATGGGCTGCAATAGTAGAAGCATTGCCAGCAGATCAAGGGAAGTAATTCTTCCCCTCTAATCGGCATTGGTGAGGCCACATCTGGAGTACTGTGTCCAGTTTTGGGCCCCCCACTATAAAAAGGATGTGGATAAATTGGAGAGAGTCCCCTGGAGGGCTGCAAAAATGGTTAGGATGCCAGGGCACATGACGTATGAGTAGAGACCGAGAGAACTGGGCTTATTTAGTCTGGAGAAAAGACGACTGAGCAGGGATTTAGTAGCAGCCTTCAACTACCTGAATGGTAGTTACAAAGACCTAAACTGTTCTCAGTGGTGGCAGATGACAGAACAAGGAACTTAAGGTGCAGCAAGGGAGGTTTAGGTTAAATATTAGGAAAAACTAATCACAAGAAGGGTAGTAGAGCATTGGAACAAGCAAACCAGAGAGGTGGTGGAAGCTCCATCCTTGGAGGTTTTTAAGACCCAGCTAGACAAAACTTTGGCTGAGAAGATCTAGTTGGGGATGGTCCTGCTTTGAGCAGGGGGTTGGACTAAGTAATCTCCTGAGGTCCCTTTCAATCCTAGTTTTCTATGATTCTTTAATTCTGTGATTCCATGAATACCCAGAAAGGCATCAGAATTCCCAGAAGAGGGGATGCAGAATACAAGGTATTTAAATGACAGATCCAAGCACTAGAAAATATCCTGGAGAGAACAATACTGCTTTCTGTCTTCAGCACCTATTTTCTATGATAAACCCTAGAAACTGGGATGTATTAAAAAAAAATTAAGAACAGGAATTGTTAAGAGATGATAAAGTCTGACCTCTAGTGGTCACATGTAATGTATGATTTATACTGACTGCTCCAGCCTCTGCTCATGCAGTCCTATTGTACTGTTGCTATACATAAATTTTTTTTTGAAGGTTTGACATCTATTCATGATCTAAAATAGATTATAACAAAAATCATCAAAAGCAGAGAAAGCTCACTCACTTTCCAGTTTCCTAACCCAAATTAAGTCCAGATTTGCAAAAGAGTTCAAATCATTTGAACATAGGATAATATTATTGCCAACTTGTTGTACTTTTGTAAGAGAGAGTTTGAGGAAATAGTCAGACAGACACTATAGAAATTAAATGTAGAATTCTGTAATACTTGGTGTTAATCTACAGATTTTCATCAAGCAACATGACATATATAGTAAGTTAAATTTAAAAGAGAATGATATCATTATAGCCTCACTATTTAAGTTTTGTATTTAAGGCCAAAATTGCAAAGAATATTGACCTACATATTAAAAGATTGTTGATGCCCAATTTGAGAGACAGTTCTGTAAAAATTTTATATTTATCTAGTGCTTTTCATTACAGGATCTCTAAAAACTTAACTATTTACCACTGATTAACCAGAGCAGTGAAGGCCAAATTCTGTACCTCACCAATTTTCCTGGTACAAAGATCAGAATCTGGAGAATTCAAATGGACGTATCAAGAACAAACAGAGAGAGTTAGGAGCAGAAATAAAACCAGAACTTTTGACTTTTAACCCCTTGCTATAACTGTGGGGAGGAGGCTGATTTTTCAGAAG